ATGCAATGGAGCGAGAGATGAGAATGGAGCTGTTTTGAGATGTGCACTTGGAGAAAGAGGTGGGCGCAAGGGAAGGAAAGGGGGATGCAATGCTCAATGAAGCGATCGAGGCTATAGCTGAGAGCGAGTCATGCGCGTCCCTCAATCTGCCTAGCTTCGTCACCCTCCAAACGCATCATCGCAACCAACGCTCATCACAGAATCCTGCGAAGCTTCAAAAAAGTTGCGCTTCAACGTACACGGCGGACGCCCTCGATCTTTCCTGCTGCGTGATGTGATGTGATATGCCTGCCGCGCCGGCCTGCTGGTCCGCGTCCCCAGCAGAGGCGTCGCTCGACACGCGACTCGTCCGTCACTCATCAATCGCTGCTGCGCTTGCTTGGTCTGACTGCTTGCAGCAGCAGCAGGAGCGTTGTTGCTGCCCGCAAGAAGATTAATTGCATGGGCGTCGAGAATTGCAGGTGGGCCACGTGGATGGGGTGTGAGCGCGCAGCCTATCTTGTATGCAGCCAGTCGTGACTCACACTCTTGACGCACAGTGACTCGTATCTGTCACGCTTCGCCTATATATTCAGCGCTGTAGAGCCCGCGCGTATCCCCTAACGCAGGCTTTCAGCAGATTCACAACATCACACGCCCCCATTCTTGCTTTCATAGCCAATGAACTCGCTATTGTGATTGATTCGTGCACAGTTCATCAGCGTGCTGATGGGGATGAGCCGGCAGATGATCACCTTGCAGCGACAGCGTTGATCGCGAGTCGCGAGTCAGGTGATCGCAAATCTCCTGACCCACAAGATCAGACAAAACCTCACGTCGACTCTTGACTCGCACGTGAGGCTTGATTCAAATGACTGAACAAGCGCAATTGCACCATTCACCATTCGTGATTTGCGATGGCCGCCCGTTTGAACTCACATGATCAAAAAGTCAAAAGAGTGACTTTAAGATGCGCTTGGAATCTGGAATGCAAGTCAACGCAGCGAGCGCATCGCATCGCATCGCATCGCATCGCGTCGCCCCTTATATAGTTCGTCGTTCTGACGCAGCTGCGAGCCCAGAAGATCCGACCGACACCGGCGACCGGGTTCAAGGCGAGAGCGGCACGGCCCCGCTCTCTTGCGTGCACATGAGTGAGCTGCTTGCTGATCGCGATTTGAGATCTTTCAAGGTACGTGGATATAAATTCGGGCGTGTGGATGATGATGATGATGATGATGTGAATGCGATTTTGGGGCGACTGCACGCAAAAGATATCGACGATCTATCAATCAATACATCAATCAATCAACAATTTGCTCACGCACACCCACCTCTTCTACCCTTCCTCACATCCACACGCACACACTTGCACTCTCGCTGCAACCAAGTCGACCACAACATCCACAAACCCATGTCAGCTTTCGCAGCCACTGCCGTTCGAAGACTCGCACAGACACAGCGCGTCATGGTGAGTGATTGACAGCGTAGCACACAACGCCCACAGCTTCCCTTTTTCTCGCTCTCTCTCTCTTTCTCGCATCATTTTCATTCTGACATTGGCGTTGCATCCCCCTCGCGCTACCCCAGTCCCAAATCAACGACGTCTACATTCTTTCGGCCACGAGGACTCCCATCGGATCCTTCAATGGCTCGCTCAAGAAGCTGACCGCACCCGCC